AAGTACTGGAAAGAGGGTGTTGTTACTGTAGATGCTGATGTAAAGTATTAAGGAATAACTTAACCTTAAGAACCGGTAAGTGATGTGGCCTTAGCATCCTATTTAAGTTGCTATTCCTTCTCTCTTCAGGATCTGAAGTAACATATTCAATAGGTGTTTCCTTGCCGAGTCTTCCACCATGTCTTAAATTGGAAAACATGGTATATAGATTACCAACATGTCTGTACAGTTTTTACACAGTGAGCTGGCCAAATCCTGGTGACAGAGTTAACTGGAATGGCAAGTAATTACAGACTGAGCATATCTAATCCAAAAAATCCAAAATCTGAAATGCTCTGACATTTGAAAGTTTTTGAGCACCAACATGACACTCAAAGGAAATGCATTTCAGATTTCAGGTTTTTGGATTAGGGATGCTCAACTGGTATGTATTTTGCAAATATCCCAAAATCTGAAATTCAAAACACTCTTGGTTCCAAGCTTTTCCATAAGGGATACTCAACCTGTACTAAAAATTAAAAAGTAACAAGCATAGCACTGTAAAAACACTGAAAACCTTTGCTCTGGTTAATGATTCTTAGCATTTTAAAGATGCCTTAGAGCATTCTTATCAGATACTGCTTTGAGTGACCCTGAAGCTACAATGTGAATTTTGAACACTTTTCCTAACAGTAACTTTTTTGGTAGTTAAATTCTAGTATGGTTCTTAGAGAAGACTAGCCAACTACTTCTGCTTTACTTCCAAAATATGAATGTGGTCCTCCCTTGCTCCTTTCCCTAATGTAATGAAAACATAAGATGTCTCTAGATTGTAGCACACTTTTCTGAAACCAAAGGATCTCATAAAGAAATATATATAGCATGATAAGGAGAATGTAAAATTGGATGTTAAACCACTTCTTCAAAAGTCCACTGCTCATTCTTCTTACAGGGAGTCCCCTAGCACTTTCTTGAAATCCTTTGCTGTGAAGTTAGAGGGAGCACAGCCCACAAGTCTCTTTCTGACACCAATTGCAAGTTCCGGGGTCCCCAAGACTGTCTTTAGGTTTTATTCAGTAGAAGGACTCACAGAACTCACTGAAAGCTGTTATGCACACAGTTACGGTTTATTACAGTGAAAGAATACAGATTAAAATGAGCCAAGAGAAGAGCCTTATAGGGCAGAGTCCAAGGAAGTTCCAAACGCGGAGCTTCTAGTGCTCTCCCTGTGGAGTCATGGACAATGTTATTTTCCTGGCAGCAATGTGTGCCAGCATACCTGCCTGCCAGAAAATCCTACTTCCCAAAAAAGGGAAGCTTACCTGAGCCGTGGTATCCAGAGTTTTTACTGGAGCTCATCATGTAAGTGTGATCAACTACCTGTATGGCTGATCTCAGTTTCCAGTCCCTGAGAGGTGGAGTTCCACCATGTGACCCAACTCCCCATACTAAATCATATTGTTAGACTATGAGCCAAGGCCCCAGGCAAACAAATACACTATCAAGCATGACATTCCACGGGCTTAGAGATCACCTCCAAGAATCCAAGGGCAAAGGCCAGACCTCTCTTGGGCAAGGTTAAATTCTTTACTTATACCTTCCTTTCTCTCCAATTTTTTAGGTTATTATATTATTTTAAAAATTCTTCCCCTAGCTTTTCACCAGGAGTAAAAATACATCTCCATTTTATAGAATATGATACATTATGGTGTAGCAACAACCCAGAATTCAGTGATTTAAAAAAAAAAAGTTTATTTCTCATCCATACTAAATTCTCTTTCTATGTTGGGGAAATGGAAGCGTCACTTCACATCTTTCTTACTCCAGGATCTAGGATGACAGCACCTCCAACATCTGAAATATCACAGTCTTAATGGCACTTTTATTGGCCAGTGCAAGTCACATGGCTATGCCTGACTTCAGGAGAGGGGAGGCTAGAGAAGTACAGAGGAGCCAAGTAGTGGAAATTAGTTGTAGTAACTATCGTGACATCCAATAAAGGCCTTCCAGAGGTCTACCCTCCATGAATGAATGTCTTGAATGAATGAAATGAGGACCTTGTCACAGAGGTGAGCAAGATCTTATGACTGACTTTGTGCAACTTGAGTGAATAAAACCAGGACAATGGGTAGACAGTAATAAGGAAGCTGATGACTTCAATATGAGGTCAAACTTTTTAGATGTTAGAGCTGGCCTGTGATAAGAGGGGTGGCCTATAAAGGTAATATATTCCTATGTAAAAAGGAGTTATTTGGTTAATGTCTCATTAATGACTATTGTGAAGAAAGTTCGTAGATTTTGGTGAAGTGCTGTTATTTTGTATGGTTATAAAACTTGTCTATTCCATTGAGTCTTTAAAATAGATCAACATATAGCATTAATGAATAGGCATGTCAGAGGGTGAGTAAGCCTGGAATGGTCTCTTCTTTGATCAAATGCCCATCAGGTGATGGTTTATCAAATTGCTAGTGACCCCTGTTTTACTGAGGTCAGCACCTGGAAAAGTCAGCTGATATGTCTGCATAGTTCCAGTTTGGTGGCTGGATATCTTTCTAAAGAGAGCTGGCTGGAGATTTGCTACTGACATTTCCTGGCTAAGGCTGCTTCTGTGAAAGATCTCTCCAGAATAAAGTGGGAATTTTAAGCCTACTTAAATCCTTCCTGCAGCATTCAATGGCTAGAGGTGGTTCCACCAATGTAAATGTACTTGCTGCTATTCTCTCCCCCTTCTGCTCCATCAGTCCATGCCTGGCACCTTCAAATCCAAGCCAAAAACTCAAATTCTCTGCAAGTCTTTCTCAGTTATTCCCCTCAATGTGAATCAAGAGCATTGTGATGAATACTTTATTTACTACTATGAATTCTTATTCAAGATTTTATTGGAATGCCCATATTTGGTTACTTCCAAGAATAATATAACAAAAACTTGTAAAAACTTTTATGGAAAATTTCAAATATTTGAAAATAGTATGATGAACCTCTCAGTACTGATGGATACTTTAAATAGACTAGCTTACTTATTTTCACAGTCCTAGAAGGAGGATATTGTTTTCATTTCACCGCATGTGGAAACTTGGAAGTACAGAGACTTGCCCAAGGTACCACAGGGGGCAAATGGTAGAAACGCATTCAAACCCGGGAATGTCTGACTTCCTTTATTACTCTGGCTACCCCTGTATGGAGCCTGTAAACCACTTGACCTTGTTCATACAAAAGTTTCTGTTTCTCAAGTGTTTTTATGTACAAATGCCATCTCAGACAAAAGTTTAGAATTATGATCTGGAATAGTCATGGCATGGGAATGCTATGATGCATTCTCAAATTCCACTTCAAGAGTAGAAAAGCCTTGCTTAGAGAACACGTTTTTTGGTGAGGCTACTTAACATATGCTTTCAATTCTGCATATGTATTTTTAACTGTTTTTTTGTTTTTGGTGGCTGGCCAGTTGTAGGGATCTGAACCCTTGACCTTGGTGTTTTAACAACTGTGTTTAAAAAAAATTTTTTTTTTTTTTTTTTTTTTTAAAAAGATGACCGGTAAGTGGATCTTAACCCTTGACTTGGTGTTGTCAGCACCACACTCACCCAGTGAGCAACCGGCCATCCCTATATGGGATCTGAACCCGTGGCCTTGGTGTTATCAGCACCGCACTCTCCCGAGTGAGCCACAGGCCGGCCCCGTAAAAAAAAATTTTTTTTAAGTATTTTAACTATATTGGTATTTTCCTTTTATATATAAGCAATACTAGCGTCATCAATCCTGTCTTCTAGTATTTTATAGGGGTAATTAGTTAGAATGATGTGTAGAATCATGTTATGAAACCCTGCCTGCTAGAAAAAATTCTACCTTTCCAATCAGTGGTGCTCACCTGAGCCTTGATGTCCAGTTTTTATTGGAGCTCATTATATAGGCATGATCAGTTGTCCATATGGCTGGTCTCAGTCTCCAGTCCCTCAGTAGGTTGATCAATGGGCTTGCTTGTTTTATGAGTTTTATTTGATTTCTGTCCTGGCTTGTGTGTTTACCCAGAAAAGTTGCTGCTCCTCCTCTTCTGTCAGGGCAGTATCTGGCCCTGTGCTAAGCTTATGGTAGAACTCAATGCTAAGTATTGTCTCCTCAAATAGCCTTCACTGCATGGGGGGAAAGGACACGCTCCCACCTCTAGCCTCCTCCCACTGCTTAAAACAGTGTCTTCCCCTCGGTAGCCGCCCTAATTCTGGATCCTTTCCTAACTTCCAGAAATTAATGGGAGGAAGAACTGAGTAAACTTATCCTTTCTGCTAAGTGTGTTTGTATGAGGTGACCGATATGCCAGAAATCTCACCGTAAATACATAAAAGGAGGAGTTTGTCAGCAAACTACTTGTCTTGTCCTTTCTTGTGGTGGTGTAATGAATATGGCAATTTTAAGGAGATCGTGGATGTAAAAACTTTAAAAAGTATGGGTTGTCTCACAAACAGGCTTTTCATTATCCCATGATCCTGTATTTGGATTATTCCCCATTTTGTTTGCGGGTGGGAATCTCACCCTACCCATCTGTAAGAAACCAAAGGGTAGAGGCTGAGTCTTTTTAACATGCTCTGAGCACTAGCAACGAGATATTAATGAATCTTTTTGCCAACGCGATTAAAAGCAGTCGCTGGGACCAGACTGCTGAGTTCAAATCCTGACTCCACCATTTATTAGTTCTCTTCGAGAAATAGGGTCAGTAGTAGCTCCCACATCAGAGAATTGGGGTGAAAATCGATCCACATAAGGAAGTTGTAAATTCCAGTTTTGGTAGGTCCTTCCAACCCGGCAACTGCGGACGGTCCACGCCAGAACCCGCGCAGTTCAGGCCTGAGCCCAGCCTCCTGCCCGGTCTCACGACGCGCACGCGCAGCCTGGCTGCCGAGGATCCCTCCCCAATTTTGCGTGCTGGTCGTCGGCGGGAGATTGAGTCTCGCGATGCGTGCGTGTGTGCGTGCGCGGTCTTGGAGCACGCTCGCGCACGCCGCCTCTGGCACTACGGGGCTCAGAGAGCCTCTTCCTCCTGCGTCCGGGTTGGTACTGTACGCGGTAGCCGCAGCCGGAGCTGGGAGCCAGCGTCTGCATCGCCGCCGTCGCTACCGCCGCCTTCGCTGCCTGCGCCTCTGCCTTGGACTATTCTCCGCACCGTGCAGAGGCGGCGGGCTAGGGAGAGAGCGGCGCCAGCGTGAGGTTCCCAGCTGATGGGAAGCCCCTGGACGCGCTGAGGGGCCGGGCTCGAGCGGCTGAGGTAGGTGGGCGCGCACGGGTTGGTCAGCTGGCTGGGAGCGGAGTGGCGGCGGCGGGCGCTCCTGGAGAAGGCGAACAGGCGGCGAGAATGGGCGTCTTGCAGCCTGGTGAGAAGGGGTCTCCGACCCACGCCTGCGGAGGGGCTCTGGCCTAGCCCGGAGCGAGAGAAGGCCCCGGAGGTAGCCTGCTTTTCCCTGGGTGTGGAGCCATTACTGGGGGGGAATTCCAACTGTGGCAGAGGGGAGGGGGGAGGGGTCACCCTTTCTTTTCTTTGAGAGGTCAAAATCCGCAGTCTTCTCTCCCCTGTTTGAATAAAACCCTCCCGGCTTCGAGATTGGCGTCTAGATGGAGTGGCCTGTGGACTTCTACGCTTGCAGAACTCGAGTGGACGGACAGCGAGTTATGGATTTTGAATTTTGGAGGGTACACAATCCTTTCTCTAGTGTGGGCGTGAATGTTTTGCGAACTTGTTATTGCTAATACATTGATCGTTGCTTTCGGACACACAACAGGTAATATATTTTTAAACGCCTTATGTCGAATAAGGATTCTGGCCCTGGGGAAACTGCGCTGTGGGACACAGTTAAGGAATAGAAAGAAGACAAAGGAGGCCGTTATATATGTTATGTACTGGTATCAAAACTTTCCTGATGGGGCAGCGTGCACAGCTCCGGGCCTTGGGTGAATAGACTCTCAGAGTGATTGAGGTGGGTCGTAAATGGACACTTCATTTAGAAGTATAAAATCTCATGAGTGTATGTAATTGTTAGCCAAATGACCTGAAATTATGTGGTGTTTGATGTATGGAGAAGAGCAGAACTTGAGTTTCTTAAAAGGAAGGTTTTCTCCATGTTTAGAAAGAAAGCTTCATGCATGTTTTGTGAAGTTGCTAAAAACAGTTTTAGTTCTTTATGTTCGCAATTAAAGGCTGACGCATTCAAGAGAAGAGAAGAGAAAGGAATTGTTTTATTAAAGAAGGGCTCACCGAAAGACATTAGGGTTAAACACACAGTAAAACAACTCCAGGGATGGCAAGTTTTAGCATGTGCTTCAAAAATTCTAATTTAGAGGGCCGGCCTGTGGCTCACTCGGGAGAGTGTGGTGCTGATAACACCAAGGCCATGGGTTCGGATCCCATATAAGGATGGCCGGTTCACTCACTTGGGAGAGTGTGGTGCTGACAAAAATTCTAATTTAGTCACATTGAAAATATATAGAAGCTCTAAGTTATCTCCCTTACTTCAGTGAACCATATTAAAAGATGATCTTTAACCTTTGGTAGTCTACACAGTCTGTTCTATCTCTTGGCTTCCATTCAGTCCAAACTTTGTAGACATGTAGTATTCATTCTGACTGTCTTAAGAAATGTGGCCTGCATGGGCCGGCCTGTGGCTCACTTGGGAGAGTGCGGTGCTGATAACACCAAGGCCACGGGTTCGGATCCCATATAGGGATGGCCGGTTTGCTCACTGGGTGAGAGCGAGGTGCAGGAGCAACGCCGAGGGCTGCACATTCTGACTGTCTTAAGAAATGTGGCCTGCATGGGCCGGCCTGTGGCTCACTTGGGAGAGTGCGGTGCTGATAACACCAAGGCCACGGGTTCGGATCCCATATAGGGATGGCCGGTTTGCTCACTGGGTGAGCGTGGTGCTGACAACACCAAATCAAGGGTTAAGATCCCCTTACCGGTCATCTTTTTTAAAAAAAAAAAAAAGAAAAGAAAAGAAAAATGTGGCGTGCATACTTTCAATGAACTCTATATGGGAAGAGTCTTTCAAGAATAGTTAGCCCTCAAGCCCTGAAGTGGGAGGAGGGAGGTATTATGAAGTGTAGGGTTAATGCTTATGTATGCAAATACTGTATATAAACATGCTTTTTGCATATAAATATATGTGATGGCTCCCATCTTACTAAGTTTGAAGTATGAAAGTAGGAAAGGATTGGTTTTATCTTTTTCCTTTTTTAGTTAACTATTTACATGAATAATTGTCATAGTAAATTTCTTGTCCAGTTTGTTAATCAATTATTGAATAAGCAGAATAGTGTACTGATTTCTTGGCAGTTACAGGGAAGGAAAATATAGAACATATAGACCTACTGTCTTTCCATTGCAATACACGACTTTACTCTTATGTATTTTGTGTCCTAGTGCTTAGAGTAATGTTTTGCATGGGGTTGACCCTCAATAAATGTCAGCTATGTCAGAAGTAAATTGACAATACAAACCAAAGGCAAACGTTCCTGGAGAAGATTAAAGGAATTAGAGATGGGTGCTTTTTTTTTTTTTTTTTAAATTACAGGTCTGATTTTTTAATGTTTTTTTTCAGTGTGAGTTGGTATCTGAATAAAGGACATGTGGCAACATTTTGCCTCTAAAAGTGTTACGTAATTTAAACTGAGGATATACATCCTGAGTGCTGACAGATTGTGAATGTTCTAATATACTAAGAGAAAATGAAGTAAGAAAAGGTTCAGAGGGAAGGTTTTGGTAAATTTAGTGAGAGGTATTGAAAAGGCAGGAACTATAAAATGTTGAAACAAATTATAGGAAGAAATATTTTGTCTCCTTACTGGTAGTCCTACCTGTGGAAGAGAACTTGTACCTTTTTACCTCTTTCTGTTAGAGCTTTCCAGCAGGATGATTTCTGAATAATAACATTGAAAAGGGGCCGAGCCCGAGGCGCACTCGGGAGAGTGCAGTGCTGGGAGCCCAGCAGTGCTCCCGCGACGGGTTCGGATCCTATATAGGGATGGCCGGTGCACTCACTGGCTGAGCGCGGTGCGGCCGGTCTCAAAAAGGACAAAAAAAAAGAAAGAAAAGGGGTTTGCTTTTTCTCTTACAGTCTTCTATTCACAGGTCTGTGTGTTTCTCTTTGTATTTGCATATGGTCTCTAGTCCAACTCTATTGACAATAAATTGGTGTTTTGATTGCTATCTAATTCCTGTGTATATTTCTTAATTAGTTTATGACTTCAAGGGGAGAGGAATGTAGTTGGTCCCTTTACAGATCTCAACATTGGCTTTTCTTCAATTTGAAAAACAGATCTCTTTGACTTTGTAGATGTTACTAACACAATTTGTGGCTGTTTGGAGGGATAGGGGCTAAAGAGGGGATAAAAACTTAAACAGGAATATTTTGAGTTGGGTCTTGTGTTTTCATTTTAGTATAGCTGAGTGATTCTCATGGTGGGAGAATCATTTGGCAACATCTGGAGAAATTTTTGGTTGTCACAAATTTGGGGGAAGGAAGAGAGGTTGTTACTACTGACATCTGTGGGTAGAGAGGCCAGGGATGCTGCTAAACGTCCTTCAGTACACAGGACAAGCCCCTATAACAAAGAATTAACTGACCTAAATGACGGTGCTGCTGTTGAGAAACCCTGGTATAGCTGTATACTGTACCGTAAATTGTTGGTTCTGAAGTCAGATTATCTAAATTCATATTTGGCTTTACCATGTCCTAATGTGTGACCCTGGCAGGTTGCTTAAAGCATGTGCCTCCATTTCTGTAAAATAGACCTAATAATAGTATGTTCCTCATAGGCTTGTACTGAGGATTAAATCAGATAATGTGTGAAGTGCCAAGCTTATCGCCCGGCACATAGAAAATGCCCCAAACTGTTAACTTTCAGCTAATATTATATTTGGAACTCATCTTAAGGTTATCTCTTTATTTCTCATCTGAAATTAGAATTTGAGCTGATAAAATGATAATTAATAACCTAGTTCTCCTGTATCCTTGGGGAATGGGTCAAAAATTACTCCTTTTAATACTTGTGTTTAGCCAAATCTTGTTTTATGTTCTCAAGTCTATAAGGCTTCTGCCATAAACAAGAAGCTTCTCATTGTAGATATTTTTCCTTCATAGTTAAGACTGGCTGACAGCTCTGTATCTGTTGATTCTCAGCAAATATTTTAGTAATTTAACAGAATTTGATTCTATGACTTAATCCCCCCCCCTTTTTTGCCTTTATAAACAAATAAGTTTGTAGTGGTTTTGACTCACATTAATTACCTGTTTGAGTAACTATTTTCATAATTGGGGTCTTGGTGCAGTTTTACATGTATGAAGTATACAGGCAAACATCTAATGAAATGGGACTGGACCTTAATATACATTTGTGACTCTTTTTCTAAATCTGAGTAAGAACCCGTATCTTTATTCATTGCAATATAATACTGTTGTCTTTGTAAAACTCTCATTTCCTGTGTCTAAAATAGCTGTTTTAGGGCTGGCCTGTCATAGTGGTGGTTTTAATACATCCCTTATAAAGAAAAAATAACAAGGATGTACTCATAGAGAAAACAGAAACGTTGGGCTGTTCATTAATAAGTCACAGGGCTCTTGTAAGGGAAGAAGATCCACATCACATTTATGATCAAGGGAGAAAGCAGTGTTGTACATTCAGTTTTTTGTCTTAATAACCATACTTTAAAAATAAAATTCATATTTGGCTTTACCATGTCCTAATGTGTGACCCTGGCAGGTTGCTTAAAGCATGTGCCTCCATTTCTGTAAAATAGACCTAATAATAGTATGTTCCTCATAGGCTTGTACTGAGGATTAAATCAGATAATGTGTGAAGTGCCAAGCTTATCGCCCGGCACATAGAAAATGCCCCAAACTGTTAACTTTCAGCTAATATTATATTTGGAACTCATCTTAAGGTTATCTCTTTATTTCTCATCTGAAATTAGAATTTGAGCTGATAAAATGATAATTAATAACCTAGTTCTCCTGTATCCTTGGGGAATGGGTCAAAAATTACTCCTTTTAATACTTGTGTTTAGCCAAATCTTGTTTTATGTTCTCAAGTCTATAAGGCTTCTGCCATAAACAAGAAGCTTCTCATTGTAGATATTTTTCCTTCATAGTTAAGACTGGCTGACAGCTCTGTATCTGTTGATTCTCAGCAAATATTTTAGTAATTTAACAGAATTTAATAAGTATTATAATTCAGTTATCTTATATGACATTTGTTCCTACCCATGATTAAACTGAGAAAAACAAGCCTTTTTTGTTTGTTTGTTTTGTTTTTGTTTTTGACTGGTAAGGGGATCGCAACCCTCTGCATGGTGAGGTCATAAGTATTATAATTCAGTTATCTTATATGACATTTGTTCCTACCCATGATTAAACTGAGAAAAACAAGCCTTTTTTTTTTGTTTGTTTTGTTTTTGTTTTTGACTGGTAAGGGGATCGCAACCCTCTGCATGGTGAGGTCTGCACCACGCTGAGCCAGTGAGCTCAGCCAGTGAGCGCACTGGCCATCCCTACATAGGATCCAAACCTGTGGCCTCGGTGCTACCAGTGCCTCACTCTCCTGAGTGAGCCACGGGGCTGGCCCAAAACAAGTGTCTTTGAATCTGCTCATGTGTGTTTGTTTATAAGTGGTTTGGAGTCCTGCCTGTCAGCTTAATTTTAGGTAGTCTGCATGGTTGTTGGAAGACAGACTGTTTTCCCACTGAATGCTTTATACAGGTATATATTTGTGTATGTGTATTTATGCATATTTGTCTTTTATTTTTGGTAGAAAATGATGCATCCTGTTGCCAGCAGTAATCCAGCTTTCTGTGGGCCTGGCAAGCCTTCCTGCCTGAATGAAGATGCCATGAGAGCTGCTGATCAGTTTGACATATATTCCTCCCAGCAAAGCAAATACAGCCACACCGTCAGCCACAAACCAATGGTTTGTCAGAGGCAAGACCCATTAAATGAAACACATTTGCAGACTACAAGTGGCAGAAGCATAGAAATAAAAGATGAACTAAAAAAAAAGAAAAATCTCAACCGATCTGGTAAACGTGGCCGGCCATCGGGAACCACCAAATCAGCAGGATACCGGACCAGCACAGGGAGACCCCTGGGAACCACCAAAGCAGCTGGATTTAAGACAAGTCCGGGCAGACCTTTGGGTACAACTAAAGCTGCGGGATACAAAGTCAGCCCAGGGAGACCTCCAGGTAGCATTAAAGCTCTATCCCGTCTTGCCGATCTTGGTTATGGCTGTGGCACTGCTGCTTTTCCTTATCCTATGATGCATGGCAGAGCAGTTCACGGGGTAGAGGAAACCAGCAGTGAAGTCAAGCCACCCAATGAGTGAATGAGACAGGAAAGGAGGGCCAGGTTCAGAAAGAAGATTGTGAATAATCCCAAAGCCTCTTGGTTTTATTTTGACATACATAATTTTATGACCTGGGCTTTCCAAATTTGTTTTCCTGTTTAATTTGTTTTCCTGCTTTTGCTCAGAAGCTGCCATGTGCTGACAGGTGCACTCAGGGCAATAGCAGTGGCATTGTATTTGTACATAGGTTCAAGTGTAACACCTAACTAAATCATTTTTGCTTTTCCTTTATAGTTGTGTTTCATGTTTCATTACTACTTTTGGGCCATTCTTAATCGATGCTTTATGTGTGAACAACTGAAACCATTATACCTATTAGTTGTGAAGTAAGCCTACAATATAATAAAGATACTATCTAAAGTATTTTTAACTGATGGAGCAAAAAAGCAAATGATTCAGGATTACTTGAGGTAATGGCTGTGTGAGTTTTTGTAACATTTATTTTCATGAGACAGGACACAGATTTGTATGCGTTGGCATTTACATACATAGACTGCAGATGTTAGAAAACTTATTTTTAATGTTCTAGGTTCAAACAGCTTTTTATTTATTGATCTACATGGCATGAATTGATTTAACCATTATTTCTGAAAGAATTCTTTAGTGTTTGCCTTTCAGCAGTGATTAAGTTGTGTATTTTTAAATTGCCTAAGAGCATATATACCAAACACTACAAACGATTCATATTTACAGAAATTTTAAACTATTTTATAAAAACTGCACATTACATTTTTGGTGAAATACAATGCATTCTGAGAATAGCATATTTAATATAATAGAAAAAGAAACATTTTAAGGTCTGCATGTAGCTTGTAGTCACTATATTTTGCCTTTCATACAGTTAGTGAGTTCTGAAGTATTATGTTTAAAAGCATTTATTAGTATTGCTCATTTATTTGGTATGTTTTTTAATTTTTCTGAGAAATTGTCCCATTGCATTAGCACTTATTGTGTTTTCAGGTTTATATCTACCAAAGGACACAAAATGAATGGTAGACTGTAAAACTGGTATAAATAGAATGCAGTTTCCTGACAGAACCCAAATATGAAGAAATATATAGAAATCCATCTATGCATGAAACATGTAAAAAATATGTTGGTTAGATTAATTAAAAATCTTATTGTGGCTCCAGTGAGACCACTTCACTCAAAAGAAATTTTGTTTTCCAATAATGTTTGCTTTAGAAGCAAGACAGAAAAGTATTGGATAGATACACATAGTGGAGACAGAGGGAAACCTCTCTTCCCTCCTTTCTGAAAGTAATATTACTTGTTAATACACATTTTATTACTGGCCAGCCGCCAAAAAATGTATATATATACACATTTTATTTATTCTGAGTTTGTTCTAAATAAACGATTGTAAACTTTGGATTTGAAAAAATTCCAGTGAACTTTAAATTAAAGTTACAATGTTTGTACTTGCAATTTTAAATGCCTTTGAGATTAAAATGTAGATTTGCAGGACCCAAAAACTTTTAAAATAATTAAAAATTTAGAGGGTGCTTATTGTGTTGTTTTGGGCTTGCTCTCAGTTAATGCAAACTCTGATTGCATATGGATGTCATGTTTCATACCTTTTTTATCAGGAAAAAAGCAGCAAGCCTTCAGGTGTTCCAGTGATGCCTGACACACTGAGCTGTACTTTATGCTGCTCTTTACAGTAAGAGGTGTTGCATTATATGTGGAGACTATGTGTGCACTGGCATCTAAGACAGTGACCTCAACAATATTAGCTTTGCACATACCGTAGAGAACAATGTTGGATGACTACATAACACTTGTAATATTCTGGCAGCTAAATTGCTACAAAAATTTCTTCTTGCAGAAGCTTAAAATATAAAACTTTTAATAATTTACTCAGAACAGTATAACTTCTGACACACACAAATGCTTGCATCTTTACTCATATGTTCCATCTATCCACTATTTTTATGTATCGGTCATTTAGCTGTTTCTAAAGATAATGTTCAGCAGTTGGCTGCTTAGAAATCTTCTTTTGAGCTAGTTCCTGAAGACAGTTGTTTAATTAAATGTTCTGCCATAGAATAATATACACCTTTGTCAAGGATTTGGTTTCATGTTGTGTTTCATAGTAAAGTGCATTTGACATTTACCTTTCAGTTTATTTTCATTCCTGCTTTTGTTATAAATAACAATAAATAACGATATCTTTCTCCTCTGCCTTTTTCTACATTTCATTCCACCACCACCACTACCACCCTTCTCCTGCACATCTACTCAGTGGTGCTGTGCTGTGTGTCAGAAGATAAAGCAGGTGTATTGTATAATGAATTTTGTATAGATGTATATGAAATGGTGAAATCAACTAAGGGAGGTATATTCATAACAGTGTTTATTATCAGGAGCTATGTCCCAGGGGAAAAAAAGAGGGCAAATGGTTACAGTTTTAAATGGATAAGATTACTTAGAAAGATGAATTTACTGTTCATGTGAGAAGTTACCTGGAGTATTAGGCCTGTACACTGGTGAGAATCTCCTGATTTCACTTTTCTCCTTGTGAACAGTTTACTGGTACCATGCTGAAGAGAAAGACATCTAAGTTATAACATGAATGAAGTCTTAAAATACAAAGTATTTTTACTTCCATATATCTAAAGACTACATTGTGCATCTTTTGTAACACTGTCTTTTGTCATGTTAAACACTGAAATAGCATGTTAAACAGTTGCCTATACTTTAATATAATCAGTTGGGGAAAACTGGCCTTTTCTCCCTGCTGTATGATTATTCCTTGAAAGGTAAATCGCTAATTTTATACTGTGTAATTCTGTTCTTCACAAAATAGGTTTCACTGTTCTATATTAAAACTATTGGTCAAAAAATGATCTGCTATTCAAGTAAGTTTGCTTTACTTTTTTCTTTAAAAAAGATTTTAACATGCCTTATTTATTATTGCTATATTAACAAATCAAGAGCCAATACAGATGAAATTTCCACTTTTGACGGATATGGTCTTGCATAACTAATCTTTAGTATGGGATGATTTTGATACTATCTTTGGAGTTTTGCACTGGATATTAAAAAATATTGGCATGATGTATTGGAAGAGAATAAATAGTATCTGGTTTAATTTTTAATATTTGGGGACATTTAAAAAATCTTTTAATTAGACTAAAAATTCTTTATATTTTTTATTTACTTTTTAAAAGAAATATCTGTCAAAGTAACATCCATTTCAAACTGATGTGTGAATATACCTGTATATTTTAATGAAATTAGAATAGAGTTTCTTTGAGTTAAGGAGGGGGGAAATATCTACATCCATTTATTAGGTTAAGGGTGATCCATCCAGTATAAGGATAACCACAGTGAATAAGATAAAGTAAAAAAAAATTAAACTTCTCCTTTATATTCTAAGAAGCTTTAAAAAACAATTCAAGGGATACTGATGATAACTGCTATTCTGTCAGTCATTGTCTGTATATGCAGTAAAATTTTATGATCTCTCTATAGTAAAATATAAGAGTTCAGAACAGTTGTTCAAAACATCTTTTCCTTGGACATAAAAAATTTTGATGCTATTACACTTTTGTTTCTATTATAGCTTAACTATATGCTATTCAACTCTAGGATGTATCTAAACCTTTGCTTTTTCTCTCTACTCCCCTCAACTAGATAAATCTGTGCTCTCACATATAATGTATCTAATTTTTGGAAAATTTAATGCTATAGTAAATCAAGTGTGTGATTTAAAGTAATCAGACCACTTTGATTCTTTAAGTTTTCACTATTTCCTTTTTCCACAGATAATTATGGAGAAAATAATTACCAATTAACTGATAATAAGCACGCTGTCCTCTGCTGTAAAAAAGTCTGAATAGATACTGTGTATGTTTTTATGTCCATGAACTTGAGCTACTCGTGTGCAATTATGTGTATGGGAATGGAGTAGTGTTCATGATTTGTATCTACATCATCATATGGATGTATATTTATTAATAATAAAGTCATTACTTTAAAACCAGTTATGTTTACAACTTTATTTTTTAGCATAGCACATTTTAGTAGGGAAGTAGTAAATGGTAAACCTTTTTCATGACTGTGGATCTTGTATTTTTATTAGCATTTTGCTTTCTAAAATCTGCCCCTTTATACTTTTAAAAAATATATTTATTTATTTATTTTTCCCCTTTATACTTTTTAATTTTTGTTAAAGCAGCTATATTTATATATTTGTAATTTAAAATCCTTACAGATGGATCTAGTTTTCTTTGCATTTTCTTCCCATTATGAAGATACATCAGACTAATAGTTCTACTTAAGGTTTGCAAGGTTTATATATATATATATATATTTTTTTTTTCCTTTTTGTCTTTTTTCATGACCGGCAGCAGATCGCAACCCTCAGTGTTGCGCCCGTACCGGACCGGGACGGCAACGGGATCGCAACCCTCACTGTTGCGCCCGCACCTCGCTCAGCCAGTGAGGGGCCGGTCTGTATGTGGGATCCGAACCCTCGGCGGGAGCACCGCCGCACTCCCAAGCGGCGCACTGTAGCAGTGCGCCACTGGGCCGGCCCTACTTAAGGCTTATATTTAAATTTTAATATGATTGATCCCTTTGGTTTAAAAAATCAGATAATAAACATGGCTTATTTTATTTTATTTTTTATGTTAACCTTAGGGAGATCGGTGTGTGCATAACTGTCAAATATTTGAGATATAAAAAGGAAAAATACTTTCTCGTGATTACTTGAATGTATAATTGTGTTTTTCATTTTCTGTGAAGCCTGCAGATGATCTAGAACAGAGATTGGCAAACCCTGGCCCATTGCCTGTTTTGGTCAATAAAGTTTTATTGGAGTAGATATTTGTTTACAGATAGTGTATGGCTGCTTTACACTACAGTGGCAAGAGTTGAGTACTTGTGACATAAGGCCTTGCATAGCCTAAATTTTTTTTCTTGGTGGCTGGCTGGTATAGGCATCTGAAACCTTGATCTTGGTGTTATAACAGAGTGCTCTAACCAACTGAGCTAACCAGCCAGTCCCCATAGCCTAAAATATTTACTAACTGTTCACTGGCTTTACAGAAAAAGTTTGCTTAACCCTCATCTATAAAGAAATTGGAGTGGGAAACAGCAAATACAATTTGAAGTTGAATTTCAAAACCTTTTAAAAAATTGATAGTGGCTTTTTTATTACCCTTAGAGATTGCATTAGAAGTGATTTTATGTGAGCTTTTGCTCCAATTGTTGAAGTCCTTTCACTTGTATATGGGCATGTGCTGTTGATTAGGTGTGCTATTCCTAATCTAGGAAAATATCTACATCATCATAGTAAAACATGGGCCATTTGCTGTGGCTCACAGGATTACTTATTGTTCACTAAGTATATTTTACCACATTTTTCTTTCTTTATAGAGTTTTGTAATAAATATTTACTATTTCGTTGTAATTATTTTTTCCAAAATTCTCATTCTCTGGTAAATGTCAGCAAGCACATCAGTATTTTATTTAGTTGAGAAAGCCAGCCAATTGAAAATCCATAGGTTAAAGAGAAGGCTGTCTTCCTTTATCACCTAGAATTTATACTTTGAAAAATAACAGGCTTGTGTTCTTTATCCTAACAGCTGCCGGTGGGTGAGAATCATGAACAACCTTTAGAAAATATTAGTCAGTTGGCATTTGATAGTTTTATAAAACTATGGAACTATGAATTTTGGTACAAATATTTAGATTGTTACAGTTGAGAATGAAAGATCTGCTGCCGCCATATATGTTCCTTTGTTAGCACCTAAAATACTTTGTTCTGGTTTTATGAGGATTTTATCAATACCAATCAATCATGTTTCTAGATGTGCATCACATAACTTGTGAAGTAGATGGGAATTTTAATGCCCAATTTCTGTAAGAGTATTATAGTAGTAGAGGTGAGGTAATGTATGCAAATGCCTGTGGTAGGTGTTGGCAAATCTAGAATACACTGTAATGTGGCCTTTTGCCTTAAAGGGAACTTGCAGCTGCTTCAAAATTAATGTCAACTATAAATCTTTTCCAAAACAAAACCCCATTGGGATGAAAATATAATAGGGTACAGTACTAATGGCTGCTTAGTACTGTGCATGGCATATAAACACTTTACATACTTTATTTCATTAAGTCATTGCTGTTTTACTGAATGGTGCTGAAGGAGTTGGAATACCCCTCTTAGTGGTAAGAAGTCTTGAATCCCACAGAGGTTAAATAATTTACCCAGGATCATACACCCAGTTAGTGATAGAGTCAGCATCTGAGCCCATGCCTATCTCACTCCAAAGCTGGGGATCTTAACTGCTACTGTAAACTCACCATTGGGAAAAAAAATGGGGTTCTGCTTTTAGTAATAGATGTTCTTGTACTGAGTCAGACAGATAAATGTGGCTGTGGAGAACTGTGATATATTTCATTTTATCTCCATGGCCATTCTGTTCTGAGATCCTGTGGGCTTTTGCAGTAGCTTCTTAGAAGGAGAGTGAAAGAAAAAGTCAGTCTTATTTTTAGTTTTCTCTGTCATTTGTCCTTCTTACAACTCTGTTAAGGTTTTTAGTCCATTATCTTAGGTGTTTATTTCCATATGGGCTTGGATTGTTTTTCAGTATAGAATCTGCCATTTTGTCTCTGATTTGCCTAGTGCTGGTATGTGATCTCTAAGAAGTCGGTTTATGATTTATTGTTTGTCATCTGTCCCTTTATCCTTGGGCTAGCTTTTCTTGGGATAAGAAGTTGTATGTAGAGTGACAGTCACCCCAGTTGCTGCCTTATAGCTGCGTGTGACCTATAGGCACCACAGACACATACGTTCGTTTTCTTTTTCCTCTTTGAATTTTTACTTGCTAATTTCTTGCTGATTTTGTTAATTTGCCTCAAATAACATCAATTTTTTCTCATTAAAGAAAATATTTTAACTAGTTTAGAAAATACCTAATTTCTGTATATTTGTGTGACCTTTGGTTCCTACTAATGCTGTTTTTCATATTATGGGAAATTTTAATCTTTATGAGATCAATATAGTATTTCTGAATATCTGAAGTCTTCCATTTCATCTGCCTTGCCTATACCATGTGTATCAGTTAGACCTTATGATATTGATAGTTATAACAAAGAGACCTCAAAATGCAATGGCACAGATAAGATGAGCATATTTTTTACTCACATAACTCCTGTGCTTTCCCTGCAGTCTTTCAAGTACCTGGGCTTACAGTGATTTTGCCATTTTCAAAACATGGCTTCCAGTATTACTCTAGTTGTCTTCATTTTAGCCAGCCTGAAGAGGGGAGGGATTGTAGAAGTCTAAGCCCTTTTAAGCAAATAATGTGAACTTAAGTCACTTCTCACATTCCTTTGACAATAGTTTAGTCACATGACCACATAACTGCAAGAGGTGTTGGGAAATGTAGTCACTACTTGAAAAACCAGGTTCATTTATTATACTATGGGAAGAGGGAATGGATTTTAGTGGCAGTCTCTACCACATTCCTATAGGTAAGGTTTGTGAATGGAGGTTGGGGTAGAATGAATAAGCAAAAACTATACCTACAGATTACATGAAACCAAACTGAGGTTTCTGTTTTTTGTTCGTTTGGTTTTTTTTGTAGGTGGCCAGTACAGGGATCGAACATGCTCTAACCAACTGAGCTAACTGGCCAGCCCTCAAACTGAGGTTTCTAAGGCAAATTTAAATTGTTACTAGTTGTCATTTTTTAACAGATTAATTCAGTAAAGATCTGAGTGTTTTCTTTGATCCAAAACGTATTCTGGGTGCACTAGACTACTAGTTTATAAACCAGTGAAAGGTTCAGACAAGTGAACAGTTATAATACAAATTCAAAAAGTCTTTTAACATTAAAGTATCTTAAAATGAAAATGGATGCTGAGTTTTTTTAATTTGAAAAGTTTGCTCATGGAGTCGGGCCTTTGGGTACCTGTATCAGCAGAATATCCAGCAATATCATAAGATATTCCTTTAATCTTCAAGTTATCTGGAGACTGGAGTGGGAATGGATCTGGGAGAGGAGAGGAGAGAAATCTCAATTGAATGCAATTATTCTTACTTAGAAAACTGGTTATAAGGGTACTTCCAACACTGGAAAGATTTTCTCTTCCTTAAGAATTTCATGAAGCCTTCCGGCACCAAGGTTAAGGGTTCAGTTCCTCCTACCAGCCAGCTGCCAAAAAAATAAAGGTGTTACAGGCTGGCTGGTTAGCTCAGTTAGTTAGAACATGGTGTTATAAGACCAAGGTCAAGGGTTCAGATCCCTGTACCAGCCAGCCTGTAATAAAGAAATGTCGTATTTTAAAACAAAATATATATGGTCTATTGCCCCTTCTTTTTTTATATACACATCACTTTTATGTCAGTTTTAACATTTTAAAGATGGCAGTAGTGAATTGGTATCTCCAAATTCTACATTTGATACACTATCAAACACAGTTAAGTCGAATCATAATTTAGCTATTTCTTTATTGCTTGAATATTTTACATTTTCTAAACAGAAGAACTCATATCTGTGGTAAGCTCAAGTACTTTTCAAAAAAGTCAGATTCAATGAATTGGAAGGGATAGCATATTAAGTAGTTAGGTAATTGACCATTAGGTAACGGTCTTGGATAGGTATTTTTTACAATGTTATTCTGTTGTTATTTATAATATTAAATGTTAAAACTATAGATATTCAAATCTTATTGCTTGATTATGGTAAGCCAGCCTCCAAGATGGTTCCTAATGATCCTCACCTCCTGGTATGTATGTCCTTGTGTAGTCCCCTCCCTTATTGTATATGGCTGACATATGTAACCAGTAATAGGATATTGCATAAATGATGATGTGTGACTTCTGAGTCTAGGACATAAAACACATTGCAGCTTTAGCATTGCTGTCTTGTATCACTTGGTCTGGGGAAAGCCATCTATCATGTCATTAGGACACGAACAGCCCTGTGGAGAAATCTGCATGGTCTGAAGAACTGAGCCCTCCTGACAACAGTC